TTAAAACAAAACAATGGAAGCAACAATAAATCAAACTTCATAATAACCTTGGCTACTTCAGATAGAGCCGAAGGTTGAAATCATTCACACCCACGCAAAGAACGAAGAAAAAAAAGGTAGAAAATCATTCACAATAAGATCACGAGTTCGAAAGAAAAATTACCTCAATTAGGGAAGGGGGAAAGCTCTGATAGAGACAAAGTGAGGGAGACGAAGAAGAAACGACGGAGATGAACTTTCTGGTTGTGAGGGAGAGACCGGGATGAAGACTGGGATGGACAACGAGATAGTGAATGAGGGAGGGGAAGGACCGAGACAGGGAGGGAAAGGAGGGGAGGGCTCGGTTTGATTTCTTTTTTAAAATTGAGGGTAACTTGGTAATTTTACAAAACAAAATAAGGGGAGGGGTCAGAAATCTGAGGTGGAGGGGTCATAAATAGGTAAAATCAAAAGGGGGTAAAAAGTCCAAAGTGGTTATTGAAAGGGGTCAAAAATCCCAATTTCCCAATATTATATATGTTTAAAATAATTTTAAATTTTGAATTTGGGAAGTTGAATTAGTTTCCTCGTAATATGTTTGAAAACAATTATTTAAATGAGATATTGGGAAGTGGTATTCTCTTGATATTATACCTATATTTAAGAGGGAAACAAAAGATCATTTAGCCTACCATATCTAATTTATTTTTTATAATAAATAAATAATAAAAAAATATATTAATATTATATAATATAACTATTAATAAATATGGAATCAGACTTTTGGGCCGGCCCTATGAGCCAATTCAAATACGGCTCAAACGGGCTGGCCCATGGGCCGGCCCAAATTAAAAAATGAATATCCATATCCAATCCAATTAATAGGAGGGTTGGAATTGGCCAAGCCGGTCAAACGTTGACCTTGGAACGAGATTGGATCGGGCTTGAACTGGGCCTGGGCCGGCCTTTAAGCCTCGGGCCCGATGATGAGGCTGACTCCCAATCCATAACCCAAAAAAATACAACCAAATAATTCAAAGTACCCTAAAATAAAACTTCATAATCAAACTTTAATGCATTTAACAACCGGAATATAACAGTATATAAAACTCCAAACTTAAACTTCAAAGCATATAACAGTATGGAAGTTTCTCCTAGGTCGTACCTCCAATGTGACCTGTTCGTATTAACAACCCCATTATTCCGCTTGAAATTTCCACAAAAGTAGCCGACTAAAACTGAAAATAAGGAACGGAAGGGGAAACAGTTAAATTTCACTCAGAAAATTTTACATTAGAAAACCATTGAATCTTCGTCCCCCATTGACTAAAACCCCTTTAATCGAAGAAACTTATTGCGAGACAGTGTCGGAAGACGGAAACAACCACCTGTACTAGTTCCTTTACTAGTAGCGTAGAAAGCGCAGGAATGGAAACGAAACGACAGAAGAAAGCAATTTGATTTTGTGGAATTTGAAACGGTTTGAAAGTAATCAAATGAAATGGGGAGAGAAGATCAAGGGCTGATGTGGCGAGTCTAAATGGTGGCACCTACTGGGACCTTGGGTGCAAAAGGTCAAAGACCAATAGGTTATGGAGTGTTTGGGTATTAGATGCAAATGATCAAGGGTCGAACGTCGAGTTTCTATAGAGAAGTGTCGTAGCTGTATACAATTGATATGATTCCAGGAAGTGATCGAGATGACAACCAGGAGGTGGGCTTAAATCTTACAGAGTTTTAATGAGAAAGTGGTTTTATAGGAACTTGAGATAACTTGAAAAGAGCTTGAGAAAGTTGTAGTCTTAGCAAGTCTTTTAGTTTTGAAGACTTGAGTATGCGTTTCTAGAATTCGTAGTTATGTGCTTACAGCTTTGTAAAGGGTTTATGTTGTTGATACCTTTGTGTTTTATTTATGATAGGAGCCTGCTGATGTGCTTGAATTATGATATGATAAGCATGGTGGTTGAGTACACATGTTTTATTGACGAACATGACGTATTGATGTTGTGTATAAAGTATACGGTTTATGTGTGACCCTTTAAGTGGGGGCTACTTAGTGGTTATACTCACTCCCCTCTTTTTCCTCCCATTTTTTCAGGTAGTGACCTTATTGAGATCATAAGGCGTGGTGATAGCGTGGTGGAGGCTTGAGAAGAAAGACTATGTAGCTTCTGTTTTGTTTTATTTTATTAAAATAGGTTGATGGGATTTTTACTTGGATTTGTTTTATGTTATCTTGTTAGAACGTTGGCTTGTGTAATATTGAAACATTATTAGGATAGTTTAGTTGGATTCTTTATGTAGTTTAAGATTCTCATAAAAGGATAGGTTGTTGGTTTCCTTGAGAAGTTAAGTTTGATTAATGTTCATTGATTGGTTAACTTGGAAGGATTTAAGTGTTGATTAGTTGTTTAGCTTTCGGTTGTTTCTATCTAAGCAATTGTGAAAGTCTTTCGCAATCAGAGTAACACAGAGTAACACAGCGGTAGCGTCGTAGTAACATGTTCTTAATTTTAATTGATTTTGTGGTTGGGTTTAGTAACGGTCCCTCATTTTAGGATGTTGAAAATCTTTGGGTGTTACAGAAATAGAATAGTATGTATGGTAAAGATAGTTGATGGTTGAAAATGTCAACAAATGTATACATTAATGGCTTAAAAACGTCAAAAATGGCGAAAAACGTTGATAAAATGGTATAGTTAACCTTTTTTTTATTATGACAATTGACACATAAAAACATCAATATTAGTATAGTTAATGGCCAACTAACCTCAACAAATACATAAAGTTGATGTTTGTTGACCATCAACTAAAATGAAAAAGTTTACCTTTTTTGAAATGTTGACACCACCATAATTGACGTCTAAAAATCGTCAATTTTTTGTGATTGTTGACATTTTTTTTAGCCATCAACAAAGACACAATTTGTAGTTGAATAAATCTCATATTAAAGTTGAATTCGGTATATGTATACATAACTAAAGTAAAAATCATCCATTTTTTCTTTTTCAGGACACTAAACTACATTTTTGAGAATTTTCAAAAGATCGTTTCAAGAATGGAAGGAAGTCTGATGATTGTAGAAGAACAAAACCAATTGAAGCGAAGTGTAAAGAAGGCTCGCAAGGTAAGGATTCGTCCATTCACAAATATAGTCAGTCAGTGTGACTCGTCAAACGATAGTGATGGTGGTGGGTTTGAAAGTGGAAAACTAAAAATTTTCCTATAGGGAAACGGTAATGGGGCATTTGGTTGAGGAGGTAGAATTAGATGCGGAAGATC